ATATCAATTTCTTAATTTTCGCTTCTCTGTCACTCCCTTCAAAGTGCATATGCACGCATATCTCTCTCTCACACACACACACAAATAAAACACACACACACACACACACACACACACACACACACACACAGCGCATATACACACACAAAACGGATATGTACTCTCACGTGCACTAAGGCGTCCAGTTAACGTGTCTTGATTTGAAATTAGCACTTTCTTCGCTACAGAAGGAACCTCCCTGACATTTTCACTGCTTCTAATGCACGGTTAATTTTCCCAAATGAAATGCGTAGTGTCATGCGCAAATGTATGAAAACAGTGATTGGAGGAAAAGAGGTGAGGTGGGGAAATGAACGAACCGGATGTTTGGTAAAGAAAGAAAGAAAGAAAGAAAGAAAGAAAGAAAGAAAGAAAGAAAGAAAAGAAAAAAAAAGAAATGGAGGAAGAAAGAAATGAAGGAAGGCGGGATGAAAGGAAGAAAGAAAAAAGAAAGAAATAAAGAAAGAAAGAAAGAAAGAAAGAACGGGAGAAAGAAAGAAAGAAAGAAAGAAAGGGGGGAAATCAAGAAATATGATGGAGAAAGAAAGAAAGAAAGAAAAAAGGAAGGAAGATAGAAAGAAAAAGAAAGAAAGAAAGGGAGAAATGAAGAAAGAAAGAGGAAAAGCAAGAAATATGATGGTAATAGAAGGATTGAAAGAAAGAAAGAAAGAACGAAAGAAAGAAAGAAGGAAAGGAAGGAAGGAAGGAAGGAAGAAAGCAAAAAAGAAAGAAAGAAAGGAAGGTTAAAAGGAAGAAATAAAGAAAAAAGAAAGAAAGAAAGAAGGAAGAAAGAATGAAAGGAAGGAATGAAAGAAGAAAGAAAGCAAAAAAGAAAGAAAGAAAAAGAGAAAGAAAGAAAAGAAAAAAGGAAGGGAGAAAAAAGAAAGAAAGAAAGGCAGAAAAGAAGAAAGAAAGATTGTTTTTTTTTGAAGGAGAGAAGGGAAGAAGATATGTCAAGATAGCAATGGCAAAAATAAAAGAAAGAAAAGAAAGAAAAAAGGAAAAATAGTTTTTTTAAGAAAGAAATAAAATAATGAATCAATGGAAGGTAATCTATAAAGAAAAGAAAAGGAATAAAAGAAAAGAAAAGAAAAGAAGAAAGTGAGAAAGACAGTTTTCTTTAAGAAAGAAAAAAGACTAAACTATATAAGCAAAAACAAGAAGGGAAGAAAAAACAGAAAGGTAGAAAAGAAAGAATAAAGAAAGAAACAAGAAAAAGAAGGAAAGATAAAGAAAGTTTCTTGAAGAAGGAAGAAATGAAATTGTTAAAAAACGAAAGGAAATATATGTGCAAAAAGGGAAAAGAAGAAAGAAAAGAAAGAAGAAAAAATTGAAGGAAATAGAAAAAAAAGGAAGCTAAAAAGAAAAAAAAGGAAAAGAAGATAAAAACGAAGGAACAAAAGCATAAAAGCAAAAGAAGATAAAGAAAAGAGAAATAAGAAAAAAAAGAGAAAAAGAAACAAAGAACATGAAGACATTGTTTTTTTCTAGAGACCATAACTGAAAAGTAACAATAAAAATAACTTTTCTGTAATATAATTATGACTATGTATTTATCGGTCTTGCAGGCTGTTCTCCTTAATTTACTATTGAAGTAATCCATCGGTATCTTAACAGTATTCACAAGTCGCTCATATGCAAACACATCTCGTGTTAGTATGTTACATTTTTTATTTCTTTTCTTTCGTGTTAGCTTTCATTGGATAGTTTTAATTTAATGGTTTGAAAAGCAAAATTCTCTCTTAGAATTTTTTGACTTGAAATAGTAATGATTACTTTGAATAACGGTTAAGGGCAAAACGTAAACCGGTTCTCTGATTGGCTAAAAAAAATAAAAAATAAAAAAATAAAAAGTAGCAACAGCCAGAAGAAAAAATTAAACAAATTTTGATTGGTCAGAAATTCTACATAGGATTGAATAAAAAGATCTCATCGCAAATTCTTGCAATCATGTTGAAGCTATACCAGAATGCTAATCGAGAAATGAACTCTCTTGGATGGATCCATGGGAGAGAAATGTTGATGTAATGGAGGCCTGAAACTTCCTGTGACCCCAGAATCATCAGACAAATCATTCTTGTGTGCAGGGTCTGGATGGGCCCATGAAAGAAAAAGTCTGACGTGATGAAAGTCTGAAACTATCTATGACCCCAGGATAGATATCACTGCGAAAGCATCTGGGGGGTAATATCTGGCCGGTCCATGAGAGAGAAAACCTTATGTCATGAAAGTCTGAAACTTTCTATATCCCCAGGATAAACATAACTGAAGAAGCATTCTGGGGCACAATATCTGACTGGGCCCAAGGGAGAGAAAGTTTGGTGTCGTGGAGGCCCGAAACTTTCTATGAGCCCAGAAAAGACATCACTGAGAAAGCATCTGGGGCACAATATCTGGCTGAGACCAAGGGAGAGAAAGTTTGGTGTCGTGGAGGCCCGAAACTTTCTATAAGCCCAGAATAGACATCACTGAGAAAGCATCTGGGGCACAATATCTGGCTGGGCCCAACGGAGAGAAAATTTGGTGTCGTGGGGGCACGAAACTTTCTATGAGCCCAGAATAGACATCACTGAGAAAGCATCTGGGGCCCAATATCTGGCTGGGCCCAAGGGAGAGAAAGTTTGGTGTCGTGGAGGCCCAAAACTTTCTATGAGCCCAGAATAGACATCACTGAGAAAGCATCTGGGGCACAATATCTGGCTGGGCCCAAGGTAGAGAAAGTTTTGGTGTCGTGGAGGCCCGAAACTTTCTTTGAGCCCAGAATAGACATCACTGAGAAAGCATCTGGCGCACAATATCTGGTTGGGCCCAAGGGAGAGAAAGTTTGGTGTCGTGGAGGCCCGAAACTTTCTTTGAGCCCAGAATAGACATCACTAAGGAAGCATTCTGAGAGAAAGTTTGGTGTCATGGAGGACAGAGAGTTTCTATGATCCCAGAAAAATCATCACTGAGGAAGAATACTGTGGTGCAATATCTGGCTGGGTCCATGCGAGAGAATGACTAATGATATGGAGGCCTGAAACTTTCTATGACATCAGATTAGATATTACTAAGGAAGCCTTCTGTGGTGCAATATCTGGCTGGGCCCATGGAAGAGAATGACTAATGATATGGAGGCCAGAAACTTTCAATGACATCAGATTAGATATCACTAAGGAAGCCTTCTGTGGTGCAATATTTTGCTGGGCCCATGGGAGAGTATGACTAATGATACGGAGGCCTGAAACTTTCTATAACATCAGATTAGATATCACTAAGGAAGCCTTCTGTGGTGCAATATCTTGCTGGGCCCATGGGAGAGAATGACTAATGATACGGAGGCCTGAAACTTTCTATGACATCAGATTAGATATCACTAAGGAAGCCTTCTGTGGTGCAATATCTGGCTGGGCCCATGGGAGAGAATGACTAATGATATGGAGGCCTGAAACTTTTCTATGACATCAGATTAGATATCACTAAGGAAGCCTTTGTGGTGCAATATCTTGCTGGGCCCATGGGAGAGAATGACTAATGATACGGAGGCCTGAAACTTTCTATGACATCAGATTAGATATCACTAAGGAAGCCTTCTGTGGTGCAATATCTGGCTGGGCCCATGGGAGAGAATGACTAATGATACGGAGGCCTGAAACTTTCCATGACATCAGATTAGATATCACTAAGGAAGCCTTCTGTGGTGCAATATCTTGCTGGGCCCATGGGAGAGAATGACTAATGATATGGAGGCCTGAAACTTTCTATGACATCAGATTAGATATCACTAAGGAAGCCTTCTGTGGTGCAATATCCTGCTGGGCCCATGGTTGAAAATGACTAATGATATGGAGGCCTGAAACTTTTTATGACATCAGATTAGATATCACTAAGGAAGCATTCTGTGGTGCAATATCCTGCTGGGCCCATCGGAGAGAATGACTAATGATTCGGAGGCCTGAAACCTTCTATGACATCAGATTAGATATCACTAAGGAAGCCTTCTGTGGTGCAATATCCTGCTGGCCCCATGGGAGAGAATGACTAATGATATGGAGGCCTGAATCTTTTTATGACATCAGATTAGATATCACTAAGGAAGCATTCTGTGGTGCAATATCTTGCTGGGCCCATGGGAGAGAATGACTAATGATATGGAGGTCTGAAACTTTTTATGACATCAGATTAGATATCACTAAGGAAGCCTTCTGTGGTGCAATATCCTGCTGGGCCCATGGGAGAGAATGACTAATGATACGGAGGCCTGAAACTTTGTATGACTCCATCACTTGCGATGTATTCTTGGACACAATATCTGCGTATAAAACGAACAGATTGTGTTAATAACAATTTTAGAGTACTCTTCAAAAAAAAAAAAAAAAAAAAAAAAGAATGCAATCAATGCAAATGTAAAATTACTTAAATAGTTCTGCGATTTTTTTGACGGTGTGGGTCGTTTTAGTTGTTTGAATATTTTTTTCACTTTGAATGATTGAAAAAGTTCTTTTTACACGTAACAAAAGAGTTAATTTTGAATATATTTCTAAGAAGAATTATTGTCACTACTTACATTATTTGCATTGTTCTGCCTGTTGAGCTCATCTTTATTGTCATATTCACGCGTTTCGGTCGTTATACGCCCCGGCCTTCTTCAGTATCTGTCTATATTTCTAAGATGATGTATTGTAACTAATTACATTGTTCTTGACTGTTGTCCTTACCCTTATTGTCATATTCATGACGTTTCGGCCGTTGTACGCTACGGCCTTCTTCAGTATCTGTCTATATTTCTAAGATGATGTATTGTAACTATTTATATTGTTCTGACTGTTTTCCTTACCCTTATTGTCATATTCGTGACGTTTTGGCCGTTGTACGCTACGGCCTTCTTCAGTATCTGTCTATATTTCTAAGATGATGTATTGTAACTAATTACATTGTTCTGATTGTCGTCCGAATCCTTATCGTCATATTTACGACGTTTCGGTCGTTGTACGCCCAGGCCTTCTTCAGTATCTGTCTAATTTTCTGAGATGGTGTATTGTAACTATTTATATTGTTCTGACTGTTGTCCCTATCCTTATTGTCAAATTCATGACGTTTCGGTCGTTGTACGCCCCGGCCTTCTTCAGCATCTGTCTATTTTTCTGAGATGATGTATTGTAACTTTTTACATTGTTTTGACTGTTGTCCTCATCATTCTTGTCATATGCACGACGTTTCGGCCGTTTTACGTTTCGACCTTCTTCAGATGATGCACATTGGAATTTCGAACCGAACCTTTATTTCGTCAACCGCGGAAGATTTTTCTAGTTCCATGTGCTATGCCTTTTTCTGGATATCTCAGTCTCAGTTATTCCCCTTTAGTTACTCAACTGTCCAAGTTTATGTTCACCTCTGCTGTGGCCAGGTATTGAATTCACAACTCTTTGGGTCAAGTCGCTGGATTACTTCAGCCAACGCTTTTATCGACATCTGAGATATCCAGAAAGGTATGGCATGTGGAACTTGAACAATATACCACGGTGGACGAAATAAAGAGTTCGGTTCCAAATTCCAACGTATATCACCCGAAGAAGGCCGGAGCGTACAATGGCCGAAACGTCGTGAATATGACAATAAAGATGAGAACAACAGTCCGAACGATGTAAACAGTGGAAATATTTACAATACTTCATCTCAGAAATGCAGACAGACCCTGAAGAAGGCCGAGGCGTACAACGGCCGAAACGTCGTGAATATGGCAATACAAATCAGGGTAACAGAATCATGTAAATAGCGTTAATTTTATAAGAAGACGTTCTCGATTAATCTTGCAAGGCATAAGCAATGGCATTGCAAATTTAAATATTTCAGTCATTTTTTGTCAGATCACGTGCAAGTTGTTTTGAATATTTTTACTTTAATTATTAAAACAAACAGAATCCTGTCTTACACGTGACAACAGAATTTAATTGTAGCGATAAAAATCTAAGAGTACTCATGCTGAAAATATAACAAATGCAATTGCAAAATTGCTTAAATATTCCCATCATTTTTTGACAGGACATGTGTTAACTTTCTTTGTGTATTTTTATTTTTGGTTTAAGAAAACAGAATTCTTTTTTTTTTTTTTACATGCAACAGTAGCGTTAATTGTATA